AGTATCTTCAGGGCTCACTGCTTGGACCCCAACCTCAAGCGCAACAAAACATCGATCGTCTTGAGGCTCACTGGAGCCGGCGCCAAAAAGGCGAGGAGGAAAACATTCGGCAGCGGCAAGGCAGAGCTCTGGCTTGCAGATCTGCAAGAGGCAGTACCAGTGGTCCAGGTGTACAAGCACCTGGGTGGTATGGTCGATGGAGCCATGACCATGAGTCATGAAGTCCGCTACAGAATGTCTATGGCAGCCGCGGCCTTTGAGTCGGCCAAGAAGCTCATCCTGCAAAACGAACGGGTGGCCCTCCAAGTACGAGGGCGAATCTTCGAGGCCACCGTCACGCCGACGATCTTCAACATTGCGCTGTGGACTCCCGAAGGGAAGCAATGGGAGAAACTCAGTGACGGGTACTCTAGGCAAGTGAGGAGACTTTTGGGCCGACAACTTGAAGGCCCTGATCTCTTCCGCCTCCCGCTTTCCCTCGCGCACTGGGCCACGGGGTGCTGGCCACTTTACATGATTGCAAAAAGAGCGAGACTGAGCCTACTGGTCTCGCTATGCAAAGCTGGACCCGATGCCTTGTGGGCAATGATCCAGTTAGAGGGAACCTGGTGCCAGCAAGCGCTTCTTGACCTACGTTGGTTAGTTGAGGGCTTGGAGGACCAATGGCCGGCGACCCGGAAGGAGAACTGGCCAGAATGGTGGCACCTACTACGAGGGCAAGGACAGCGAGTCAAGAGGGTCCTGAAAAAGAAGATGGCCAAGGACTTCGAGGCCTACAAGCGACAGGAGGCGGAAAGACTCTGCCTCTGGGGACTCAGCAAGGAGCTCGACAAAGACCGGCCTGGAGCGCAGCCTGATGTGTCGTGGAGATGCAGGCCGTGCGCTAAAGGATTTGGCAGCCGTGCGGCGCTGTCGGTGCACTTCTTCGCCGCCCATGGAAGGATCGCCCGCTACAGAAAGCACGTTCGAGGAACGAAGTGCGCAGCATGCGCGGTTGAGTTTTGGACGACGGGGCGACTCGAAGATCACCTTCGTGCCAGCGGTGCATGTGTGGACCAGCTCGAGGACCAGACCGCCGGGGAGATCGAGATCCAGCCAGGCTACGGCAGTCGTCAGCGACGGCAGAACGAGGCGGCCAACTTTACTCCCGCAGCAGCGCCTTCCGGTGGAACCCTACAGAGTGCCCGGACAAGGACAATCCAACACCCTGGCGAGGCCATGCGTCGGAATGAATGGGAAGAGGCCCTGTACAAGGGACTCTCTGACCTCCTCATTGGGGAGCATTGTCCGGGTCACGAAGTAGAGCTGCGAAGCAAAATCCGGGAGGGAGTCAACTGCCACCCGCTTTACCCGGAGGAGTTTCAGAAGGTAATTGACACGATCCTGGAAGAGGCTGCAAGCCTGCAACAAGATCCGGACCTCAGCCCGTGGGGTGCTCGGCAGTACGAGGTGATCGTCGAGGCACTGACCGAGTCGTACGACCCGGGCGAGGCAGATGCTAATGATCAAAAAATCGAGACTGCCCTCCCCTACGCGGACTTCAAGAAGCACATCGCAGACTACGATTGGCAGCGCGCCATTCATGCACACAGGCAGGGATACGAGACCCACGAAGAGTCACTTTTTGAGTTGGGCGATGACTGGGAAGCTGCATGGCATCGTCAAATGAGTGGCTTGAAGGTTGCAGCCGTGGCCCGTGACCTGTGTAGCCTACTGCCCCGGCCCTTGCAAGATGCATGGCGGGCTTTCAGGACAAGAAAGGATGTGCGTATTAGAGCGCCAGACAACTTCTGGTGCTCCACGCTCTCGAGGCCTTTTGGCCCATTTAGAGAGCTCGCTTGCAAGCCATAATTAAGCTGCGCAAACCACTGACAGCACGGAAATG